TAGATAGATAGATAGATAGGTACTGAATTGAAATAGATAGAAAGATAGATAGATACTGTATTGAGATAGATAGATAGATAGATAGATAGATAGTGAATTGAAATAGATAGATAGATAGATAGATAGATAGATAGATAGATAGATAGATAGCAAATGTCTAGATAATGAATTTCGCATTGATCCAAGAGCAATGTCTGGCTGTTTTGGGCATCGATTTATCAATTTCTGACCCTAATCTCCGTTCAAACATTAAGTCCACCAAATGTCAACCTGCTACCTTTTTAACCATCAAACAAGGAAACAGAAACCTGTAGCCATACACGAAAGGAATTAGCACAACATGCGTGCCAGTTGTTTTTCTTTTTTTAGAGGGGGGGTCGTGCTTTTAGTTTTCAATTTTCCTTGAGTATGGAATTACAGTTTGTCTTACTATTTACCATACCTCATCATATGGCTCTGTCTGTTAAAAGAAAAACAGGTTAGAAATTCACAAGTTTCCTATTCACTTTCTTGTGTTTCACGCAATGATGCCGAAATATAATTGGATCATTATCCGTTAATAAAAGTGACTGAACCACTGAAGGTGCATAAAAATATGCATTGATGCGTGATTATTCTAGAAAAGAAATTAGTAGATAAACACAAATTAAATGTACCAATGAATTCTATTGTAAAGCGTGTTCCAATAACTTGGACCGATTTTAAATGTGAATTAAGTTTAAGCGTCTAATGATTTTTTTTCTTTCAGATTTGGTGGATATTTGGGCGATATTATTTCTCACACATAATTGCTATGACTTAAATAACATGATCCAATAGAGAAATAAATAAATTGTCACCAATAACACGGATTTATTTACTGCTGACTTTGATCCGTCTTAATGAAACACCCTTATATATAATCCGTTTTAATGAAACACCCTTTATTTATCAGAGGGTGGGTTGAAATTTTCATAGGTTGATTATGATGCGAGACTTGTGAGATCTTGCATGCATTCATTTCAAATCTTATTAACTGCATTCTCTCTTTCCAGGTATGAGGGTGGCTGAAATGTTTATGGACTGACTATGAAGGAATTATGCTAAAGCTATAAAATTTTGCATTCATTTAAATTCTTCTTATTAATAACTGCATTGTTTCTCTCAAGATATGAAGGAGAATGAAATGTTTATAGACTGACTACATGGGAATTATGCTAAATCTTTAATATCTTGCATGTATTTATTTAAACTCTTCTTATTAATAACTGCATTGTTTATTTCCAGGTAAACTGATATATAACTGTCCAAAGAAGATTAAAACAATTTCTAGTAGCTATTTCTCTTAAAATGGACAACATTTGACATCGTGGTGTTATCAAGTACCTGCAGAAAAGGGTTTAGCCCATGAGAACATTCGTGCTGTCATTCTTGTACATTAGAGGATGATATCCCAGATTTATCAACGGTGAAAAAGTGGGCAGTTTTATTTAAAAGTGGAAATGCAATTCTTAATGATGATACATGGTGTGAACATCCTGAAACTGCAAACACCTAGGAAGACATTTGATCATCTTCGTGGCATGACTATTGACCAGACGATTTTCTATAAATCAAATAGCCAATGCTACTAGCATATCTCGTGAGTGAGTTGAGAATATTCTGCACAATGAATTTGGCACAATGAACGTTTCTGCTCGGTGGATGACACATCTTCTGATAGATGATCAAGAACGCACCAAACGGATGACATCACGGGAAATTCTGACATTGTTTGAGGCTGATTTCTTTTAAACTTTCCTAACCCTGAATGTGTGTTAGGTATCCATGCATTAAAAACACCCCTCCTCACCTGCCGCAAAGAAGGGACTGTGTTTATGTACTATCTTCAAAAGTGGCACATTATCAATGCAGAGGACTATGACAACTTAACGAGGCAGTTACGAGAGGCCATCAAGACCAAACGTTTATGAAAACTGATGAAAAGGGGTCTTGGTTCTTGACTACCTTTAAAAGAAAATTCAAACAAAAAGAACACTTATACTTAGAATCAGAAAGTGACACATAATAAGGAAATATTAATAATAATAATATTCTAAAATACCAGGTTTCAAATTTTAATATAAGAATTGGACAATTTTGCTGTTACACGATTTGGACAATTTTGCTGTTACACACGATGAATTTTCCTACCGCCCGGTCAACACTCCTCCCTCTTCTCTTGGACATGAGTAGAGGCTTACGCCTTGTTTCTTGTTTAGGAAGGAGTTCCCTGTACTATCTCTCTCTCTCTCTCTCTCTCTCTCTCTCTCTCTCTCTCTCCCACTGGCCTCTGTATCTCCACTTGCCTTGATCTATCCACTACCCTTCTCCTCATCCTTTCTTCTATCACTTCTATCTGATCTTACTCCAAATTTTCTGTAACCCCTTGCGTCCTAGTAGCTTCCCGCCTTGCTTGGGGAGAAACGCTTAAAAAAATATATATATATATATATATATATATATATATATATATATATATATATATATATCTTTTAAACTTTCCTAGCCAAGAATGTGTTGGGTACATCCATGCATTGAAAACACCCCTCCTCACCTGCCCCAAAGAAGGGACTGTGTTTATGTACTATCTTCAAAAGTGACACATCTATCAATGCAGAGGACTATGACAACTTACTGAGGCAGTTACTACAGGCAATCAAGACCATACGTTTATGAAAACTGATGAAAAAGGGTCTTGGTTCTTGACTATCTTCAAAAGAAAATTCAAGCAAAAAGAACACTTATACTTAGAATCAGAAAGTGCCACATAATGAGGAAAGATGGTTTGGAGAATTTGAGACTCACATGACATATTGAAGTCAAGAGGGTCAAAGGAAAACAGTGAGTAGCCTACCTACTGTGATTTTGTAAACGGATGGCAAAACAAGGTTTAGTTTGGATAATAAGAACACAAATATTTTAAATGCTACTGTTATGGTCGAGGTTAGGACCAAGGAAGAACAACACGAACACAAGAGTAGAAATAACGAAGGTATATTACACGAAATAATAATACAAGATGTGGAAGGTGTTAGTATGATTGTCAGTCTGGTTTGGAGTGAACTACTATCGGCTCGACTCGATTTGGTATCTAGCCACCCCTCCACGAGGGTTGCATGTGGCACAAGGCAGAGTTTAACGTGGGTTTCCCGAGCCCGTAGTCTCGGCCAAATAATGCCCGTAGAACTCGTATAATTGGGATCGGGTTGGTCAATCTCCCCGAACGAGACTCTGCTCTTTGGCGGAGCCTTGTCCGTGTTCCTCTCTGCTCAGAAGCAGAGTGTTCGACCGTCAAACCGAGAAGCTCGGCTTGAATCGACCCTCTCTCTTGAGAGAGGTAGTATACATAGTGTTAGGAAGAGTTCATTCTGTAGTTATAGGTAAGGACACACGACAGCTACAAAAGATAGGAAGTTATGGAGAACTATGATCGATCATCTTCTGAAGTGATGGCGCACAGAAGAAGATAAGATTAGGGTTATGTGAAGTACTCGGACATTAACGGATTTTCGAAAATCTGAATAAATACTTTTTTGATTTGTTTCTTTCCTCCTTTGTGGTATACCGAGATGTCTTCAGCGCCTACTCTTTAGTGCAAATGTTGTCGTTGTTAATCTTGCTATTACTCTAGCTTGTAGTTTGCTACGATTGTATATGGTTTCGGAAGAAAGGTGAAAAAGTAGAAATAACAATGTCCTCAGTTTTGTGGATGCAAAAGGCAATGTGTTTATTGACTATCTTCAAAATGGTCACACCATCAACGGAGAGTACTATGACAACTTACTGAGACAGTTTCGAAAGGCCATCAAGACCAAACGTTTATGAAAACTGATGAAAAGGGGTCTTGGTTCTTGACTATCTTCAAAAGAAAATTCAAACAAAAAGAAGACTTATACTTAGAATCAGAAAGTGACACATAATGAGGAAATATTATTAATAATAATAATATTCTAAAATACCAGGGTTCAAATTTTAATATAAGAATTGGACAATTTTGCTGTTACTTGATTTGGACAGTTTTGCTGTTACACCTGTGTGTGTGTGTATATATATATATATATATATATATATATATATATATATATATATATATATTAATTGATTTAAAATATGTATTTTCGCAACACAGTTATATATATATATATATATTTAAAAAATGTATGCAGTACATTCGCACCGAAAGTTCAAGTCCGAACATTTCAAAGTTTTTAGGTGTCCATCTGAGAACAGTGCAAAGGGTTCGGAAAGAGTTGGATGAGTCTAATGGTGATTACGAAGGTATGGCAGCTCAGAAAACTCACCCTGAGTGATCGGATGAGAAAAGAACTCCCGAGAGTGTTGGTGACGGCCTCAGACTCAACACGGAGTCCCATATTAAGTGCCTCGAGAAGGTAGTGCTGCTCTGGTCAAAGACGTTGGCTACTGGTCCCATGTCTGACAACAGGAATTTGCACCATACCACACAACCAGGAGAACCCAGTCCTGGTTCACAGACAATTTCTGCGGTCACATCACCCCTTACATCTGGCCACCTAATTCCCCAGACTACAACCCCCTTGATTATTATGTGTGGGGCGCAGTTGAGCGAGAAATCAACAAAACTACTTGCAACATCAAAGATGAACTGAAGGCAAGGATTGTGGCGGCATTCACCAACTTTTACAAGGAGACCGTCGAGAAGAGATGGAGGAGATTCCGAAGTCGTTGCAGAGAAGTGGTTTTACAAAAGGATGTTGAGAATACAATGGAGTATTTTTTCAGGAAAATGGAAACAAAAAGACACTTGTACTGAGAATCCGAAAGAAACTGTTGAAATTTATTAGTCACATAATGAGAAAAGAAGGCTTGGAAAATTTGTCACTCGGGGAATATACTGAAGGCAAGACTGGTGGAAGGTAACAGCGAATAAGAATACTCACGTGATTGGACAAATGCACGGCATAAAAGGTTGTAGAAGGGTTAATATAAACCGAAAATTGCTATGGAATCATAGATAGATAGATAGATAGATAGATAGATAGATAGATAGATAGATAGATATGAAGAGACCGAGATAGTGAAAGGGATAAACTGAGATAGATAGATAAAAAGAGATAGGGAAAGGGATAGCTTGACATACATACATACATAGATGTGGTCTTATTGATAGATAGATAGATAGATAGATAGATAGATAGATAGATAGATAGATATGAAGAGACCGAGATAGTGAAATGGATAACCTGAGATAGATAGATAGATAGATAGATAGATAGATAGATAGATAAGAAGAGATAGTTAAAGGGATAGCTTGACATACATACATACATACATAGATGTGGTCTTATTGATATAAATAAGGTAGATAGATAGATAGATAGATAGATAGATAGATAGATAGATAGATATGAAGAGACCGCGATAATGAAAGGGATAATCTGAGAGAGAGAGATAGATAGATAGATAGATAGATAGATAGATAGATAGATAGATAGTGAAAGGGATAGCTTGACATACATACATACATACATACATACATACATACATAGATGTGGTCTTATTGATATAAATAAGATAGATAGATAGATAGATAGATAGATAGATAGATAGATATGAAGAGACCGCGATAGTGAAAGGTATAACCTGAGATGGATAGATAGATAGATAGATAGTGAAAGGGATAGCTTGGCATACATACATACATACATACATACATAGATGTGGTCTTATTGATATAAATAAGATAGATAGATAGATAGATAGATAGATAGATAGATAGATAGATAATGAAGAGACCGAGATAGTGAAAGGGATAACCTGAGATAGATAGCTAGATAGATAGATAGATATGAAGAGATAGTGAAAGGATAGCCTGACATACATACATACATACATACATACATACATAGATGTGGTCTTATTGATATAAATAAGATAGATAGATAGATAGATAGATAGATAGATAGATAGATCTACTATATGGTATATACTACAGTGCAATAAAAATGTTAAGCGGCAGGAGACACTTTGATCATGATTGACTGCAGTCTTTAAAACATGTATTTGCTTACCTGGGCGCAGAAGAGTGAAATTCTATCAACAATTCTCCACGGTCTGAGGTTTCTGTTCTATTTTTCGGCAGCGGGTCGATATGCATTATTAGTTTAATCAGCTCAGGGAACCCAAGACTACAGCGTAGATCGGGAGCAAAATGTACACAGTGCGCCTTGGGAACGTAGTTTATAATATGGACACGAGGGAAAATATTCGCTTGGGAAAAACGGATAAATTACTTAAGAGGCGACGATGGACAGCATATTTTGAAGACAGATCGAAACTTGACATTTTTTTTACTTTTGCAGTTGAGCTCGATAAATGTAATCGTAAGTTTCAGTTCCTTCACTCTTACTTCCCATATGTGGAACTCTCTTTCGGACTCTTGCTTAATTTTAACTTCAAGCATTTAAATGCAATGTCAATCGTTATCTTCTGTCTTCTTAATGCCTGTGCTTGTATTGTTCTTTCTTCTTAATAATGTTATTCTTTTTCTTATATCCCTTCACAATCTGTAACTACTTGCGTCTTAGTGGCTTTATTATCTTGAAATGATTGCTGAAGCTAGTGAACTACGGTGAAATAATTTACAAAATAGGAATAATAATCCAGTAAAGCCATCCTTTGCTTTCCATATTATATATATATCTAACTATCTTTAACAGCATTTTTTATTTAATTTAAATTCTTATTTATTTCATGAAAATTATCAGTTTTTTTAATAATAAATTAGGATTTACTTATATCCTTATATATAATGAGTAAAAGTGGATGGAATGGATAAATATTCAGAAGAGTTTTGAAAAAAAATATTTGACATGTTTCGTGTAATCAGAGGAACATGGACTTAAGTTTGTTCAAATACAATTTTTCTTCAGATGACATCAGAATACTGACAAAAACATAACAAGCTATTTTTTTTTAAACTGTCAAATATATTTTCTATCTCTCTAAGACAAAATGCATGGTTATCAGCAAAAGGGTGAGCCCAAAATGCAAATTACAGGTAGGGGATACTAAAATCAATAAGGTACAGAAATTTAAATAATTAGGAAGTGACAGAAAGTGCAACACTGAGATCCAAAGACATATTAGGATGGGCAAAGATACTTTCTGAAAGTTAGGCAGAGTATTAAGAGACAGGAAAATTTTGTTGCAAACAAAGAAGAGAGTACTGAACTGTTACATGATATCTGTCATGTATGGCAGCAGATACTGGACAATCTCCTCAAAGATGAAGAAGACACTTGAAGCAACAGAAATGTGGTTCTACAGAAAGATGCTGAGGATGCCATGGACCGAACATGTGAAATTTTGGAGAGAATGGAAATGACGAGGAAATGTACACGCCCCACATATGTATGTATCTATCTATCTATCTATCTATCTATCTATCTATCTATCTCTCTCTCTCTCTCTCTATATATATATATATATATATATATATATATATATATATAGTCGATGGACAACATGATATATAAATTTTTGCATATTAGTATAATATTGAGTAAGTGAATGATAAGATGGAAAATATTCGTTGTAACGCGTTTCTTCATTGAAATGGACTTCATCAGAAATGTAATGAAGTTGTTGACGAAAATTTTCCTTCCATCATGAAATAAATAATAAAAAAAAACTTTATTCAGTGATAAATGAAACCAATAAATTCAAAAGGAATTTCAAGAGGGGTATAGGAATGTAAATAGAACAGAATACACCAGGGGTGGCCAACCTTTTGATTCCATGCGCCAATATTTTGTACGATTAATTTAAATGCGCCACACAAACATTCACTTCCTTTCAAAGCTGCTATAATGTCGGCTCTAATTAGTATAAGCACTCACAATATTGAAGCTACGATTCAGCGAAATGTAAATCATGAAATTATTCTTACCTTAATTTAACGAAATCCAGACACAAACGCTCTCTCTAATGCAGTGATAAAGAATGAGAAACATTTTAGAACACAATCCAATCTACCAGTTAGTTAAGCCCTCAGTCAACCAAAAGGACCACGTCAGCATTTTTAACAAAAAGAAATGGGACAAACACAAATCAAACTTTTAGCACTTTCGCAAAGGACGTGCAATAAATATATGATGAGTAGAAGTGACTTAGTTTCTTTTCATCAAAAGGATGCAATGCGCCACTTGTAAGCATTCAATGCACCACTTATGGCGCATGCGCTACAGGTTGGCCATACTTGTAATGCACCTACTTGCTAGAGCAAAAAGCTTATAAAGAACGACAAAGCAAATGAAATGGACCAGATACCAAAACGATGGCAAAATAAACCTCTTCATGGTTAATATTCTGCCCGTGGCTACGTAGTGCAATGTTAAAAGTTGAAACAGAAACTTTTATTTTATGCTGTACAGGACCAATGCTTGCTAGCTAGAAATTACCAAACATCCATGCTGAAAAATTGTGTTAACCCGAAATTAACACAGTGTTTGCACCCACAAAATAAGAAGCATGATAGAGTGGGGCAATATGTACACTGGAAAATATGCACCTATTACGGGAAGGAAACTGTAAGAAACTTGTATGAACAAGATCCAAACCCGGTTACAGAGATAGGAACTGCAAAAATTTTATGGGACTTTACAATAAAATACAAACAGAACAATGAAAGCTAATGGACGTCGTGATCAAAGACCACAAAAGCAGAATGTGTTTGGTTTTTTTTTTATTGGTATGACAGTTCCTGCAGATTGTAATCTATCTTTGCGGATCTTCAGAAGACTGTTAAAATACAAGGATCCTGGAGTGGAAGTCTCAAAAAAATGTGGCACATGACAACATCAATAATTCCAGTTGTAGGGTAAGGATTGATTGTAAAAGAATCCGATAGACTCACGGAAGAGATTACTGGCAGCACACGGCTTAAAGAAAAAAATTATACCCACAAGTACAGCTCAAACATTACGATCAGCTTTATTTATGTAAAATGTGTGTGATCTTATTTTTTTATTGCGAGGCTTACGGTAATATCACGTTGAAACACGGGTTCTCGTACAATTACCGAAGTCAAACAGCGTCAAGCAGCGTCAAGCATGGTAAGTACCTAAACGTATCACCTCTTGGGAACACCAGGTGATGTAAGCCTGGTTGTGTGGATAGTGTAATGGATAATGGCTCGGAATTGTTAATCGGAGACCCGAGTTCCAATTCAAGTCAAGTTCCCTTTACTTTAAAAAAAATGATCAGTGGAAAATGCATTGAAGCCATTTCTGATATTAGGTCTCTGGTTGGGACCCGGAAGAAAATGCAGAAATAATAATAATAATGATAATAATAAAAAAATAACAATAATAATTGTACTGTAATGTCTATCAAATAGGTTGCTGGGCATTTTAAGCAACGAACAAGAAGCTAGTCTCGAAGTCCATTGCTACAACCCTGAGATTTTTCAAACATTTTGCCAAACTTGGGGTTTTGTGACTTACGAAACTGAACTTAGTAAATATCAATAGCGGACTAACAGATATTAATTTAGCCCAGGGCTGGCCAGGAACGATTCAAAGTAGATCAATCAATTCACAGACGCATTATATGTGCATACATACTTTGTTTTCCTTTTATCAACTCGTGTGCAAATGGCCGACAGCTGAATCCTCTGAGTTGTGTACGACGACGAATCATTGTTTTTGACTTGTTTATTTATTCTGACTGCAGGCAGTCACCACCCTGCACTGATGCGAATCCATTCCCGATCTTACAAATGTCAACAAAAGAAATTGTATAAGTTTAGGCACTTCACTCGGAAATTGTCCGAGGGGCGTCAAAGTTCACACAGAGGTACGTGAAAACTTCAAAATAAAATTAACTACTCAAGAATCTTCCAGCTAACACGGAACGTTCTTGCAGTATTGCAGACGTGTTGCATATTGGTTGGGGTTTAGGTGACGTTGTGACGATGTTAAAGTAACGTTGCAATTAACTATTTTCCAGACCCCAAACTGACCACTCATCCCGACATTATCACAATGTTATTGTAACATAGCCAAGTACTGAAGCTAAAAAATTATGTGCTACTCTAATAATAACAGAATATTTTTTTATACACTTAACAATATGTATAGATGTTATAAACCTTATTTAATTTTTTTTTAAACTGAGAATCAATAATTGAGATGAAGGCTGTAAGCTCTCTTATATTCCAGGAAAAAATTTCTCTATTTATCTTTAATATAACGCTCCAAATTAACGTGCTTGCAATGATCCAAGCTTTGATTGGTTTTGTTTGTTTAGCGGCATATCAGATCCTGATGGATTATTTAATGCCGAAATTTGATTTTCTTTCGAGATTTAAAATAATAAAAATATATGTTATTCTGCTTTCACAATTGAATACATGGTAGATGATACACAGCTTTTTTAGATATACATGTTTGTGTAAACATAAGAGGCGGTGATATGTTTGTTTTATATTGTAGTCTTGTTGAAGTTATATTTCGAGATACAGATTGACTCCTTTAAGAAATTGTAGGACAAAAATTTATTGCTGGTATTTTTTATTTATTTTTTTATTTATTTATTTGTGTGTGTGTGTGTGTGTGTGTGTGTGTGTGTGTGTGTGTGTGTGTGTGTGTGTGTGTGTGATAGAAATTATTATTCCTAAAATTTGGACGAAACGGCCGTCCAGTTCTTTCTGCATTCTGTTGAGGTTTCTTCTAGATTCGATGAATTACTTAATTATAATTATCTCAAATCCTCCTAATAATTTCTATCACTTGTATATCATTGCTTGAACAGGCTTCTAATTCTCTGGGTGGAGCGGCTTGGGGTTAGTAGTCGTGGCTGGTGGGGGCACAGTCCTATGAGCAAGGGAAACTCGAATGAGTTCCACCACGGAATATGTGATCAAGCGACCTTTTATCAAGTTTAATTTGTTACCTCTTCGACACCGAGGCCCGTAGGTACAGTTGGTATGACGTTTGCGCGATATTGTAACTGTCTACATGTCCTGACCATCAAATACAGTGTTTAATGATCCGGTTGCTTTGACTGTTGGCTTTTTTCCAGTACTTCGGTGTTAGTCACATAGTAATTCTAGTTGATGTTCAAAATTTAACGACGCTTTTGCTGGTGAAAGCGTTCTTATTCTTGGATATCGCAATAGTATAAAGTCCAGGTTTCGAAACCATATATCAAATGTTATAGACCATAATTTTTGTTAAGTTCAGATCTTTGTTGTTGAAGTCACGTTTAATTAGCAAGTCTTCCGCGCGAATCTCCAATTCTGGGTTCCACGCTCTTTTTCAGAGGTGCACTTTTTTGATTAAAAAGCTGCCTAGATATGGGAAATACTCTGCTTATTGTAGACGTCTATCACAGATGGTAATTTCAAAATCTAGCAAGACAGGATCTGGGGCTGGATGTGCAAGGACCTCGGTTTTCTGTAAAGCCAAAAGATGATAGCATTTAACTTTTCTAAAACAAAGAGAGAAATGTTAAAAATGTAAAATAGAACAAAAACATTAAATCTTTGTATAATTGGGGCAACATCCACCTCGAAGCATTAAGTCAGCCCAGGTTACTGTGACTATATCTTGTCTAATACGATAAAATTCTTTGGGCAGGTGTTTGTTGAGAAATCGAGTTGATCAGAGGCCTGGAAGCTGGATGTAGTTTATCGTCAAATCAATGATGGACATAACACATATTATGTTAATGTGTGTAAGTATTGACAAAGTGGAAAAAAATCCAGGTAACGCGTTTCGTCCTCCAAAAGGACTTCATCGGATTAAAGGATGGGGAGATATAAAACTCAAACGTCACACTTAGAAACCGCTGAAACTGTTGGAAGGATTAAATTTAAGATTTTTCAAATGTTTTATATTATTAGACGTGCCTGGTCATATAGTCTAGCCGATTTCATTCAGTTTCCTAATGATAAAAGAAATAAAAACAAAAACATATCACTGGTTTTGCTTGATTTTGTTTAGCGGCATATCAGCACTTCGTTAACGCCGAAATATAAATAACTTTTTTATGCAATTGTATTTTATTTTTGGAGATAATAATATTTTACTGATGCATATCTTACTAATTAACCCATAGCTGGTGGAGGATGGATGGATTCATACCTTTCCCAAGGATATTTGCGCGTAAGTGAGTATAATGATCCCGACTTGAACTGGAACTTGGCTCTAAGATTAATAATTCCGAGCCATTATCCTTTACACCACCCGCAAAACTTACAGTATCTGGTATTCCTAAGCGGTCACCCATCTAAGTACTGACTAATCTAAACGTTGCTTAACTTCGGTGATCATACGGGGACCGGTGTTTCAACGTAATATGGTCGCAAGCATGTGTCACGCATGTGTCATATATATATATATATACTGTGTAACGAATTATTAACGAGATGACATTTGTTTCATTTTTTACAAAAACTACACGTTCCCATGTTCAAATTTAATGAAATTTTCACAGGATGATGGCAATGGTTATATGCGCGTGCTGTGTAAAAACTGTAATGTTTCGCGCAAGTGTAAACAAACCACAGCCATTTGCATGAGTAACAAGATACTTCACTGTTCCAAATTATTAACGTGTGACTTCATAATCGTGCAATAATTGAAGTGACGGGTTTATGAGAATAGACGCCAATTTAGAAGCAAGGAGGACTTATGCCAGGTAATATTGAATGTATCCCGTGAAATTACATCCAAAAATTGGGGCGATCCAGAAATTGACATGTTCTATAGACCAGCTCCTTATCCATGTCATTTCAGGAAGAGGATCATAGATCCTTTATTAACCAGCTCCACAATTATTTTTGAATTCTGTGTACTTCTTGATTTCTATTTATTTCATGTCGGTTACTGCATGTGTCCATAACAATCTGTATATTTTTTCTTGTTTACCATCTCGCTAATAATTTGGAACAATTATAATTTAAGTGAATGAGGTAAATGACCGTAGTTTCTGTGTATTTTTTGCGAAACTTAACACATTTTACAAGGTACGAGCATATAACTATTACCATCATTATGTAAAAAAAATCGTTAAATTCCAACATGGAGTTTTGGGACAAAATGAAAAATTGTAACCTCGCTAGCAATTCGTTACACAGTGTATGTCTATGCGTGAAATAAGTAATGGTACAGAGTTAATAATTGAGTTACTATTAAAGCTTTTTTTTTTTCAAATAAATCTTTTCACTATTCTTCGATTATGTTATTTTAAATACTTTGTTTTAATATTCATTTTATAAAAGTATTTTTTATGTTTTTAAGTGTACAAAATAAAACATTAGATGGTACCCGGTATCTGTCTATATTTCTGAGATGATATATAAACTATTTACATTATTCGGACGATTGTCCTCATCTTTGTCGCCATATTTATTACAACGTTTCGGCCTTAGTACGCTTCGGCCTTCTTCAGGTAGTTGGAATTTCGAACTGAACCCTTTATTTCGATCACTGGGGTAGACTGTTCTAGTTCCACGTGCCATGTTTGATGGATGTCAGTTATCTCCTGCTAATTTTCCCTCTGAAAGTTCCCCACTGATTTAACCAGGAATTGAACTCACCTTCTTTGGGTCTGTCACTGGATCTAACCAACGCCTTTATCCACTGTGCCATGTGTGCGTGAGGACATCTGGGTATGAACAGAACTAGAACAGTCTACCCCAGTGATCGAAATAAAGGGTTCAGTTCTGCAACAATGGATTCACGTATGCCAAACATCTCACTCACCAACTTGGGACACTTTTTACCTCTTTTTCCTAACCAATATATATATTCATAACTGCTCTTTAATAATATATATATATATATATGTCTAATAAAATATATATATATATATATATATATATATAGGGTGAGCCAAATGTCGCTCACCAAATGGAGTAATGGATAGGTCGAAAGGTTTCTGTTGCGTGGTCACCGAAGATAGCAACCTTGATTTTTTTTGTGTGTGTGTGTGGGGGGGGGCATTTGAAAACAGATATTTATCAAACGTGGCCAAGAAATATTGAGAAACTTAAAGAAAGAATTAAATATGAATGAGTATAAAATGATGTCTGAAACTCCCCGACGTTTTAATGAATCATGCAGGCACAGAATTGAAATGTGTTCGAAAAAGAAGGAGGACATTTTGAAAAGCACGTATAACAATTAAATGACGGGTAAATAAAATTTTTATATGTAATTCTACTTTTAATAAATTATCCCTATTGCGCGACTTTTGCCTCACCTTATATATATATATATATATATATATATATATATATATATATATATATATATATATATATATATATATATATATATATTCTGGCTTCTTGCTTTCCAGTCAAGTTTGTCCTTCCATGATTTAAATGAAATGTCAATCGTTGTCTTGACTTTTTAATTTAGTTATCGCTGTTTAACAACGTTTTTCTCATATTCTTTCCACTCAATAAACTACTACGTGTTAGTGATTTTGTCGCCGTGCTTTGGCTGAAAGAATTAAAAATAAACATAGAAACACGCACACACATACACGCATATGTGTGTCTGTGTGTGTAAATATATATATATATGTGTGTGTGTGTGTGTGTGTGTGTGTAGTAATTACGCGAGAACGCATGGTCGGTCATTGTTCACCGCTAATTTATTTTGAAATTGTAAGGATATGGCAATTAAAATTGCATTGCGCTTGCTTTCTATATAGCAGACTCCTTAGGAGTTGTTTATTATATATATATATATATATATATATATATATATATATATATATATATATATATATATACACAATATTTTGTGGAAGAGGCTCAATATTAGTGATAGAGCTACCATATTTAATTGTATGGATATGAGTTTGTGACGCTGGATTTCACGCTTTTGTCATCAACAGACAAATTCTCTACATAGAGAGAGAGAGAGAGAGAGAGAGGGGGGAGGGAGAGAGATGAATGTATGAGGTCGAGAGAGACAGCGGAAGTGATGAAGAGAAAACAAGCCGGAAGCAAATAATGATCCACAATAACTGCCATGTAAATGTTTATGAATTCACAATCGCCATTAAAAAAAGAACATTCATTTCAAAATGTCCTCGACAGTGATTCAGAGAGTCTGATCAATACGTCTTCAAGAAGCAAATTGAAGCAACAATGGCCAAGTTGTCTGGCGATGTTCATTTCTCTTTTATTTTTCATGATGCTTTTATTTTCCCCAAACGATATTTCGTTCTTTTCTGTTGGTCCTTCAGTTCGCCTGAATTTCAACCATCTGCTTTCTCCAAACTTATGGGATTAAAATTAATATTTCATTTTTTTCTTTCCTCAAGTTCTTTTTCCCATTTTTAATTTCCCCAGTTGTGTAAGTCTCATTCTCCATTCTCTCTCTCTCTCCATATATATATATATATATATATATATATATATATATATATATATATATATATATATGTAAGAAAATATATGGATATAAATCCGACAGTATGAAAGAAAAATACAGAAAAAACAAAAATCTGAATATGCATTTATGTAGTATTAATGTTAAAATAAAGTCGACGTCGGACGTTTCGGTCTATTTAAGATGAAGATGGTCTTAAATAGACCGAAACGTCCGACGTCGGCTTTACATAAATATACATATATATATATATATATATATATATATATATATATATATATATATATATATATATATATATATGATAACGATACATGTGTGTTTTATACATCAAGAACAATTTTACGAGAAAGAAGTATGACAGAGAGGGTGGAAAAGGTTTTCGCGTGACGCGAATTTGCTAAAGTAGCAAGGACAGAACGCGTCGCAAAAAAACTTTTTCCACTTTTATAAATATATATATATATATATATATATATATATATATATATATATATATGGGGGGTGATTTAATAGGCCGGTTAATCAAGTTTGATGAATGAAAAACTAACAAAATGAAGGTAAGATTGGTGATATTTATTATATATTAGCCTTTTGACCAAAATGAGGCACGAAGAGAAAAAATTTAATGTTAGAATTTTCAGAGACGCCTGTATCCTTTTTTTCAACGAGACGAGGATTAAACAATAAAATTGAACTCACAATACCGAGGAATGTTATTGTTGGTTAGAGAGTTCCCTGTGGAAACTATATTCTCTGAATAAACCCAAATACCGATTTAAAACTTTAATGTGTGATTTTATTTTGAAAACATATTTTAACTCCGATCTGCGTCTTTCTTGTCAGGTTTCATCAGGGTTTTGGTTTTTCTCAGACAAAAAAATTGTTGTGTTCATCTAAAAAATATTTTTTTACGTACGGCGTGAAAAACGCTAAGGTACGGTACAATTTTAAATTTTATCATGTAGGCACACGTATAAACGTCAAGGGAAGTAACTATGGTATTGTAATGTCTAAATATAAGAAACTTGTTCGTACTTACGAGAGGATCCTCTTAAAAAAAGTAGACAAAACTAAATTCTTTAATGAAACATGTCTTAATGAAAACATACTGCCAGAATATACGCAATACATACATACATACATATATATATATATATATATATATATATATATATATATATATATATGTGCGAACATAGAAGTCAACACTTAGAGGCGACAGTCTGTTTCATACTAGATCCAATCGTCAGGCCATGACGATTGCATCTAACATGAAACAGACTGTCGCATCTAAGTATTGACGTCTATGTTCACTTTTATATTTACACACGCTCTATCTCTTATATTGAGCACTTTATCCCATAAATATAGCACATCTTAAGACTATATTTCTTCATATATATATATATATATATATATATATATATATATATATATATACCCATTGAATTTGTTTAAATGTTTAACTAAATCGCTTGTTTATCTATGTACTCTCTCTACAATAGAGAATCCGACGGTTGAAAAATTCTATATTGTTAGTACTATGAATTCTTTCAAAACTAAGTGAGATCAACATAACTTGTCCTTCACCAATAGTACTTACAGAAATAATAGATCTAAATCTAAATATATCTAATTATTTTTGAGTTTAAAAGATTATAATAAGACTCCTCATGTGAAATGAAAAATTTTAAAAATCGCAAGGACATGTAGATCTTTATAAGAACCACCGTTTCTGTGCTTACATGAAAAAATGGAATTTATCAGATTTAATAAAAACTTATTTGGTTATTGGTTAGTGTTATTAATATCTTATATGAAGAACATTTATTCAACAGTTGCATATTAATTTACCAAATAATTCTATACGTTTAAATTATTTACTAGTTTCTTAAAGAAACTATTTATCTATCAAATGTAAACATTCTTTAGGAATGTATGAAATTCACAAAGCTTATTTAACATTTTGTTAAATTACCTCTCCACCCCATTTTTATTTCTAAGGAAACTGCTTTGTCTAATTTGTCTAATTTATGTAAGCATTTATATCCGCTTTAGTTTATTTCGGGATACCGTTAGCTGCCAATCTACGGGTCATGAGCCATTTATATAAAAGAAATTGCTTCTTTGCTCAGTTTAAATTTAACGTAGGTCACATTTGATTGGTTGATCAGAGTAAAGCCAAACAAACTTTATAAATACCTTTTTTTATTTTTTCGTAAAAAGACATTGTATTTTTCTTTTAAATCTAAATAAATCGGCCATCAACCAGTAATTTACAATCGTCTGATGAGATGCATTGATACGCATCTAAAGACGACTGCAATTGTGTAGCGATTTTTACATGTTTTCGGTGTAATATCCTAACACACACACACACACACACACCCACACACACACACATGCATATATATATATATATATATATATATATATATATATAAAAAATAGTTCTCAATATCAGTTACGAACACAGGCACAATGTGCTTATTGCTTTTACTGCTTTAAAAAATCTATATAATCAGATAAACAAACAAAAGAAAAAATCCTTGGTAATAGCTAATAGATTAAGCATTAACTTTCAGATCCAATGTTCGTTTGAACGGCCCTTACACACTATTAAAAAAAAATATATATATATATATATATATATATATATATATATATACAAATTCATGAATCATTCATACAATAAAACAAATACAGAGGTTAATGATTTAAATGGCGAGAATACATCTTCGCAAACAATATCAAAAAGATACACCAACCCCGAACCTGTATATGAATGATATGATCCCTGTTTATAAATTCCAGTTGCATAAGGTCTTTTTAATTTTTTACAAGCTTTCGTCTGTTCCTACAGACATCCTCAGGTATGAAAATAGATTTGTTCTTGTTTTTACTTCTCGGTAATATATATAATTATTGCTACTACTACGTCTACCACTATTACTAAAAGCGTTATTTTTATTGGGTATACCTGTTGAGTTGGTATCCCTATTTTTTAAAGTGAAATTATTTACAAATAGCCTAGATTGTGCTTTCCAACGAGAATCAAACCTATACCCTTTTCATCCATCAGAAAAACTGCAATAACTTTCTGATACTAATTTTTTTTTTTTTTTTTTTTTTTTTGTGCTACGGGAGTTCAACTTAATCGAGTAAAGGTTAAATTATCTATCTCAGGAATTCACATCTCTTGTTGGGACGTCTACGAATATATAGCTGCTAGTTTCATTTTTGTACCTGAAACCTTTTGGTTTATTTGTTCTTTTGTTTTGTTTTGTTCTTTTTTTTTTTACAGTTTATCAACCCTTTAGTCTAAGCCAAAATATATTTTCAAATTATTTTTTGCGGAGGTGGGGGTTATAATAACGATATACTGATACAAATTCTACTAATTAAGCCATAGTTAAGGAAGAAGAGGTGGATTCATATATTTCCCAAGAGTTAGTGAATATTACGAACCCAATTGGAATTGGAACTCGACACCCCGATTAAAGATTTTAAGTCATTATCTATTACAGCAACCTCACATCCAAGCTTACAACACCTGGTATTCCCAGGTGGACTGTCATCTTGGTACTGACCAGACTCGACGTTGCTTAACTTTGGTAATCGCACGAGTACGGGTGTTACTCGAAATTTAAAGAACAGTAATTTTAAATGGATATTTTTATCCGATATTGTCTCTAATTATAATAAACGGTATTTTTATTAGGCACAAGTTTGAGTTACTATCCCTGTTTTTTTTTTTGGGGGGGGGTCTTAAACAGTGAAATTAATAAGAAGGAGAGGGCAGGGGAAAGATAGGAAGGAGGCAAGTTGAGAGAAAGAGAGGGGGATTTGGCTTTTTCTTTCTGTCCTTCATCTTGTCTTTTATTCTTTTTTATTCTCTTTCTCTTCTTATTTGTTTTGTTTCATCCAAAACGAGGTTTTTCTCTTATCCTCCGTTTTCGTCTGCCTTCATCAAATCATTTCTTTCTTTTATCTTATTCTCTTTTCTCTCGCAATCTTTATTCTCCATATTTAATCGAATTGCATGAGTCTGTTACCGAAGACCGAATTGAAAGGAATAGAAAGTAAGATGAGTGTACTATATCAGTCTTTGTCTTATTGAAAATCATCTTTCAAAGTCCTGACCTCTGATCTGGGCTTCATAAGCCGACCACTGACCCTGATGGCTAATGCCTCAGGACCTCATTCTATTCTTCTCTCTCTCTCTTTCTCTCTCTCTAGTTTTCAGCCTCCTCACTCTTTTTGCCGTTTTCTCTCTATCGTTTTCCTTTATTTCTCCAATATGTTTCCCCTTTATTTCTCTTTCTCTGATTCACTATGTTCCTCTCATACTTTTAATCTTTCTCGCCTTTTTACATTCGTTTCTTTTTTTCATACCCGTCCGTCCTTCTCATTCTTCTATACTCTTTCTACATTTCCTTCTCTCTTTAACATTTCACCTGTTTTTCTCACTCCCACACTCCTTTGAGTAATGTTTGAAACATGGTTGGAACTGTGTAGCGGAAAAAACATATTTTAAATCAATTAATTTATAATATTAATGCTCTGTAAATTTACATTGAGCACTATTTTGTAAAAATAAAAGTATCTATAAGAACACCGGATTATATATCTTACTGTTCTTTTATATATATATATATATATATATATATATATATATATATATATATATATATATATATATATATATATCCATCTATCTGTCTATCGATCAATCTATCTTTTACATTTCTTCGTTACTGCCTTTCTCTCACTGTCTCTTTTTTTTTTACTATATTTTTTTCCGTTTCTTTCTAGATTTTAATGGATAAAGGCTTGGAATGAGAAATCTGAGAGCCGATTTCGAATTCCACTTCGGTTAGTTACATTCACTTACGTGCAAATACACTTGGGAAAGGTATGAATCCATCTCCTTCCCACAGCTATGGATTAAATAGTAAGACGTCTATCTGGAAAAATCATTGTTAGTCTCGAAAATTTCTTAATGCAATATTCACTCGCCCAAAATATATTCTTTCAATCCAAAATATGTTTCGGCTTTAAACAACTCTTAAAAGGTTGATAAACCGTAAAAAATATATCACTCAATCAGCCAATTTCACTTCATTTCGTTTCCACTGTTTATAAGATTTTTTAATATGGTTTTCTATCGTTTTCTTCTCCTACCACTCTCTCTTATTTTCATCTCTCTCTCTTTTAACTCTCTCTCTTTTAACTCTCTCTCTCTCCCTCTTTTCTTCTTACTGTAACATTCGCTATCTCTCTTCTTCTTCTTCTTCTTCTTCTTCTTCTTCTTCTTCTTCTTCAACTTTCCTCCCACTTCTCTCTTTCCATAATACATTATATCTGGGCCCTCTTTTTATTTATCTCCCCATTCCATTTCACCCCTCTCTCTCTCTCTCTCTCTCTCTCTCTCTCTCTCTCTCTTTCCCCTATTTCTTTTGTTGCATGATTGGTCTCTTTCCATCTATCTTTTCTCCCCTCTCTATACCATTTCCCTACTCTCTTCATCCCATTTCCCGTCTCTCTCTCCTATTTGTTCTCTCTCCTTGTTCTTCTCTCCTATCTCCATATCATTTCCTCATCCTCTCTTTCCTGTTTATCATATATATATATATATATATATATATATATATATATATATATAGTTTACCACAACTATTTTATATATTCGTCAATTATTCTTCCATTTCTTTTGTCTCTCCTATCTACCACATAATTTTTTTCATTATTTTCTCCCAATCTTCGCTCTTTTTTTTCTCTCTATGCTATTTCCCTCGCCCTCTCTCCTCTTTTGCCTTACGGTCAAATCACGCTGAAAACACCGGTTCTCGTTAGATCACCGAAGTTAAGCATCGTAGAGCCAGGTCACTACTTAGATGGGGGACCGCTTGGGAACACCTGGTACTGTAAAGCCCCCAAAGTCCAACCCTTACCTCACAGTCGGTGGGGGGGGGTGTAAAACGGTAGTGTCAGAGCTATGCCGCCCGGAACTTCGTTTCTGGTAGGGCCACCCAAGGCGGACAGGTCTGACACACACGCCGGCTAACAAGGGCTCTGGTGAAAATCCAAGGAGCGTCTGCATCGGCAACCGGCGGCTTCTGGTCGTTCCTGTCTCTGCGTCTGTGGGAATCCCGCGGCAAGCAAGAACGTTATCCGAGTAGTCCTGGGTACCCTACTTCTGTAATTTATCCCAAGAATCTTCTTCTCACAACAGGAAGAAGCCGGCTCAATCCGCCCAGGGTGAATGCCGCATCAAGTAAGTAAGTACAAGTACTTCTTTCTTTTCTTCTATAATTGTTTCCTTCCCTCTTTCTGTACTCTTCTCTCCGTCGCATTTTGTCTCTCTCTGCTATTTTCTACTTTAATTTTCTCCCACTTATCTCTTTCTCGCATCTCCAGACCACTCTCTCTCTCTCATTTCTTTTCAGTATAGTTTTTCTCTCTTCTTGTTTTTTTTCTTCTATCTCGATTCCTTTTATTTAAGTTCCTCTTTTCTTCCATCTTCATACCATTTCTCCATTTTTTATCTTCCCTTTTTCTTTTCTCTATAATTGTCCTAACTCCTTCCTCTTCTCTCTCATATCCATTCCATTCTCTTTCTCTCTCTCTTTCTCTCTCTCTCTCTCCGTCTCCTGTTCCTCTACCAATTTTCTTCCATTGCTCTCTTTTATTCTGCCATCTCCATAATATTTTTCTATTCTCTTTTTCTATCCACTTTTCTTTTCTCTAAAATTGTTCTCGCTTCTTCCACTTTTCTCCCATCTCTATACCATTCCTCCATTTTATTATCTCCCCTTTTTTCTTTTCTCTATGTTCTCTCTCCTTCTTCTTTTCTCTTATATTCATTCCATTCTCTCTCGATCTCTCTCTTTTTCGGTCTCCTCTTCCTCTACTAAAATTTTCTTCCACTGCTATCTTTTATTCTCCCATCTCTATACCATTTTTCTATTCTCTTTTTCTCTCCACTTTTCTTTTCTTTATAATCGGTCTCTCTCGTTCCTCTTCTCCCATATCTATTCCTCTTTATCTCTTTCTTTCTTTCTCTTTACAACTTTACCCCACTGCCATCTCTTTTCTACATCTCCATACCATTTATCATTCTTCCTGTTTATTTTTATATTTTTTTTTTACTTCTCAGCCCTTTCTTCTCTCTGTTATTTTTCTCCCCTTTCATTCTCTTTATTTCTTTTATGCTCACAATACTTCCCAATACTCTCCGGCCTTTCTTCTTTGTGCTGCTGCATTTTTTTTTACCTCATTCTATCTTTCTTTCCCTCTTTCTTTTTCTTTCTTTCTTTCTGTTGATCCTGATATCTCAAGCACGTATAAGAACTAAACACTAAAAACATTAAAAGATATTCCCATCGCCAGAGTCGACTAAAGAAAGATATTTTCGATTCCACGAATGCATTTGATAATCCATCATTCACTTCTTGCTGATTTTTCGCATCTTTTTGTGTCCATCTCATTGTTTCCCTTCCAACCCGATTCTATTCAGTGAGGCTTTCTACTTCCCCCCCCCTTTCCTTATTCGTGCCCTTGTGTTTGTGGCGTGCCGTATTGGGCTTTCACCGGCATCGTGTATGCATGTGCGCCATCAATCTTTTACACAATGGTCCTTTGTACCTGCTGATTGTGTTGGACAGCACATGCTCCGTTGCCTGTTTGAAGGCAATCCACTCAATTTTGGTCAGCTCAGAAACATGGAAATCTGTGGTCCAAATATTGTTTCTATTCTAGACAGACTTTTGGTGTCTAACTATTTCAAGCTTTTTACGTTATTTTTCTATCGAGACAAATAATCAGACATCAAGAGTATTTACTAATCATAAACAGAAATTTTATTACAATTCAGCGACTCCCCCAGTATTTTAAAAAGAATTTTTATTTCTCTTTCTGTGTGTATATACGTGTCGATTTTTATAAATACGGATGTCCATACACGACATTATCAAAAAATAAAGAGCGGTGACTATAGTAAAACTAAAGTTCATGAATAATTTTTTAACATTTTCTCGACAAGCGTCTACGTAATAAAGACTATGAAGCCACAGTATCTAAAATTCATTAGAATATTAGAATGCTCAAATGTTTTAAAATTACTGGATAGTTAAAATATTATATAAAAAAGATGTTTTCGCTATATTCGTCATGTAAATTTGTTACGATTATCTACGGCTTATTTAAATTTCCCAAAAATGAGGATATCAATAGTTATGACAACAACTCATTAAAACACCCAGTTAAAAATGCTTTTCTTCGATATTTAAATTAAAAGTAAGTAATATTTGTTCAAATTAATATTAAATAATGAATTAAAGTTTAAATCAGCTATTTTTTCTCAAATAAAATTTCTAAAAAGAATGCCTTATTTTTTAAACATAATTTTCTTTATTAAATATAAATGTTGTGTTGACAGATTTGTTCATATGGACAATTTTATCGATTTTTCTGATATTCAAAAACAATATATTTCCGATAAATTTAAATTCGGTTTGAAAAACAGTAAATAATTTTACTTAGTGGAAATGTTAAATTCATTATATTACCTTTGAATTAAAGCTAAAATAAAAGATTCAAGAAATTTTTTTTTTTCATTTTTAAAAATGCGTTTAAAAACTAAAGTATCGTTTAAGTTTTTTTTTTCTTTTTCTTTTCGTTTTTTGTGGGGAGGTACCTACTTTACGTTTTAACCAACACACAGGATGGCAACATTCAATTAGTTCAGTTTCCTCTGTAATTTTCCGACCTTTTGCAACAAGAAGAATTTTATCATTCTCGAATGAAAGAATTGAAAACAAGAATTGAAAATCCAAACGAAAGCGTGCATCAATGAATGTCATCGTTATTTTGTTTCAAAATATTATAGAATCAGAATAATGTCGTATGAGTGGATGTCTGAATATCCTATTCTGTTTAATATTTCTGTTATTTTGCCAACGTACGAACACATGAACAGCTAACGGCTATTGCGATTTGAATGATTTTATTAGCACATTGACAGGACACGAAAAATCCCATAATTCCCGTGACTGCTCTGAGAAAACTTTAGCCTACAACGAATGGACACAGAGATTGATCACTGGAAAGGAGCTTTTAAGTTGCATCATATATCAGATGTGCATTTTCTCACGTTATCATTAGCTCATATCACATTCACAGAGGATGTGGGGGTGCGGATAATTTCCCGGGTAGAGTAAGGCTCCACTGCTCCACTCTCTGCCTTGGCGATTGCTGTGCATGCCCCGATTTCCAAGTCAACCTCGCCATAGAAGAAAGAAAGAACACTGACATAGATAGATGATAGATAGATAGATAGATAGATAGATAGATAGATAGATTCCGATATATTAATTTTTATATAACAAGAGCAAGTTTAGTGCGACGCGTTTCGTCCTTTAGGACTTCATCAAACTAAATTCGTTACATTCGTGCGACTACACATGCACACGAACGAGAGATACTGAGAATTTAAAATTCATATATATATATATATATATATATATATATATATATATATATATATATATATGTGTGTGTTTCTGACCGAATTTCTGGGGCGAGAAGTTATCATTATTTACGCTATTTACATTTGGCCTATTGTACTCATCTTTGTTAGTGTTATCACAACGTCTCGACCATTGTGCCCTCCGGCCATCTTCAGGTGCATATCAATCTGGGTAACCTCCAGGTAACTGAAATCTTTATTTAATTTACGGGACCAAGCTATTCTCGTTCCCATATCTAAGGATATCTCGGCTGGTGGACTTTATCAAGGGAAATAGAAGGATATTTTTGCAACAAGTATTTATTTATGGACAAGAGAAAAATTTTATAAACCTTTATAAAATTTACGGCCGTCTCTTAAATTTGAAAATATGGAATATATATATATATATATATATATATATATATATATATATATATATATATATATATATTGTAGCCGATTTCTTCACACGTAAACTTTTTTCCACTTTGTATCAAAATGTATACCATGTGTAACAGCAAAATTGTCTAATTAAGCTTTGAACTGTTGAAATGATTAAAGATATTTAATGGAATTCTCTGAGGTTTTTATAACACTATCGGACTCTATTTTGAACAATAAGTATGTATTTAAAGTTTAGGTGATGATCTCTTTTGCTGTTGTGACCTCCTGATCCAGATTTCCTCTCAATTGTTCCTTTTTTAAAAATCTTATTCTTAACCTTTTCTCTTGATGGTTCTTAAATGGACTTTGAAAATGAAAGGCAGAGTATGAATGTTCGTACTCTTTCTGAAGGTCTGAATGATCTTTTTCCTCTCACCATTGCTCAATTGGGAAGACATAGAGGGATTGACACAAAACGATTTTAACCTCTTCTGTTTTTATTTCAGCTGAAATTTATTTTTTCACTTATGAAGTGAAAAACGGTAAGGTTATGTACTGTACAATTTAAATTTCACGATGTAAATATCAGAGGAAATAACCAATTTATGATATGTGCAAATTTAACTTTCCGATGAACACAGCAATTTGTTTCACACAAATTATGAACACAACGATTTTTGTCTTAGAAAAAAAAACAACGCCCTGACGATGACATTGTGCTCATATCGAAAGTACTCGGAATAAATGAATCTGTATGTGGCATTTTTCTCTCTTTCTTTACCACCATCTGATGAGATGCGATGATATGCATCGAAATATGAATGCATTTATGTAGCGATTTTACACATGTTCTAATGAAATATCCTATAATAAAGAATATTACTCTACTATTAGAGTTTTAAATTAATGCTATAAACGTTTATTGAGCCCTGTTTCAAATTAATGCTATAAACGTTTATTGAGCCCTGTTTTAAATTAATGCTGTAAACGTTTGAATTTATATTTGATTCATTCCCATTTCATTTCGCTATCTCTCTCTCTCTCTCTTGATATATATATATATATATATATATATATATATATATATATATATAGGCAGCATTTAGATTAGATTTCGTTGTGATCCTTTTCATTTCCGCGGATTAATTTTTTTGTTAGACTTAGAAAATTGAGTAAGAAAAATACCAAAATTTTCTTTCGAATAGTTTTTATTTTCCCAAGTGTTTTCCGTATCATCTGAGACCTTCTTCAGTGGTGGTGGTGGGGGGAGGTTGGGTTTAAGTTGTCCGTTGTGAATACGTATATGTGTTTCTGTGAATTTAAAACATTTGAACGCCTCGTTTTTTTTTTTTACTACGTATGCAGGGTTCTAGATTTCAAACTTCAATATTCTCGTGTTCTTTTTTCCAGTATAAGAAAAGTAACATTTCTGTTTTTGCTCATCCGTATATAATTTATGGACTACTCCAAATTTATTTTTTAAAACAAAAAAAAACAATGATGAAACTTTAGCCTCACTAGACGTTGACCAACGTCCCAATCAGGTAAATAATAGATATAGTCATAAACAATATCTACAACAATCCATCTCTCCCCCCATTAAAAATTCGACCTAATATTTTTTTTAAAATCTATTTTTGGTGTGCAAAAGTTTCTTTTTTATGACCACAAAAACAACATTCACATACAATGTGATGGTGTCTATACGTGTTCTGTCCTTGGGACAACATTTAGCAATTTTTATATCAATAATTTAGAAAATAATGTACTCAACACCACAAAAATCTTCATTTAACTAAAATATGGAAATGACATTCCCCTTTTAGTCAAAGGCATTGACGAAAGACACGAACTAC